TCTGGATCAATGAAGAACTTTCTTTCAGGTCTTGCTGATATTGGGTGTACCTACGCTGAATTTTCCTCCTTTGTGATCTGGAAATAACGGGGACCATATCTGGTTCCTTCGTTCTTGGGTGTTTCAGCAATACCCAGTTGTTGGGAGCCACCAAAGGAGGCTTAACCATCCTACCTTGATTTCCAACATTCCTTTGGGTAGGCACCTCCCTAGGTTTGTTCTGCCTCACAAACCAATCTGGGACCCCAGGTACCCACGAACTTACTGACCCAGATGTTGAATTGCCCTTTTCTTCCTTCGAGGTCACCTTCGAAGCTGGCTGTGAAGGCAATTGTTTGGCCCTGTCCCCAAGCTTTGAGCCTGATTCAGGCCTTCGATGATGGTGATCATTTTCTATCCTCCGTGAAGCTAGTCCAGAGGGCCAATTTCTAGCTTTGATCCTAAACCTTGAACTCTTCTCCAATCTTCTTTCAGAATGACTACTCTCCATTCTGTAATAGTTAGGTGACCTGGACTCATATAAGGGCCTCTTGCCTTTAGCATGCATTCTATCAACTGCAGGCTCAACCACTGATGGCTGCTGCCTAACATTAGCCGGATACGGCCTTTTATTATAAGCATTGGTTGGTTTGGGACGCCTCTGCACATCCCTGTAATATTGCTTTCCATCAACTGGAAGGCCTTTCAACCACTTATAACTCATCTGCACCTGGGACACATCCTCTGCATTACGGTTGCCTCTAAGGAGTCATCATCCAGTGCTTCTTCATCAGAGTCTTCCTTCTGATGTGAGAAATCTCGTCCAATAGCTGGTAGATTTCTAGTGTCTTTTTTGATTGCTGCCTGGTTGGCCACATGCATCTGTACATTGACTTCTTCCAATTCTTTCAAAGACAAGTTCTGAAAGTCTGACAGAATGACATTGGTTGCCACCTCTCCAATTTCTGGAAATGGATTGCTGTCGATCCCCATGGCCTTTTCAGCTTTGGCTGGGAATTTCAAACTCCCTTTCCGAATTTGTTCTTGGATCCTGTTTCAAAAAACAACACAATTTTTAGTCGAGTGAGACCAAGAATTATGCCATTTACAATATACTTTTCCTTTAAGTTCATCAAGAGATGGAATTTTAACCCCTTTTGGTAACTTAAGGAAGTTGGCCGCAAGCAAATGATCAAAAATGTCATCTGCCTTAGTTAAATCAAAAGAATACTTCCTGTGGAGATCTTTCTTTTTAAACTGCTGGTCAATTTTCGTATCTTTATGAATTAATGCTTCACAGATCATAGGCTCTTTTCCCACAATCTCTGCTGCATCAATCTTATAATTAGGATCTTTGTAGTATGTCCTATATGATGCATTATTTCGATCTTGTTCCTCTTCTAGTAATGCTTCATATCCAGATACTTTGTAAGTCAGTTCCACTAAATCCCTGAACTCTGTTGAATCAAACTTCTTTCGAAGCCTGAACTCTAAGCCATTTTGGGCCAATCTTACGAATTCTGGTTCTGGCAAGATTACTCTACATTTATTTCGAGCCCTCTTAAATCTGGCAATAAACTGAGTAGCCTTCTCTTCAGGCCTTTGACTCAATCTTGCCAAGTCTGCCATGGAAACTTCTAGCTCTGATTGGAAGAATTAGGCATGAAATGCCTCTTCCATTTGCGGCCAAGTCTGGATGGAGGCAGGTGGAAGGTTAATGTACCATACAAATGCTCCCCCAGTTAGAGAATTTGGGAATAGTCTCAACTTCATATAGTCATGATTGGTAAATTCACCACATTGAGCAGCAAACCTAGCAATATGCTCTACTGTTGATTGGTTTTCGTTCCCATAAAAAAGGACAAAATCTGGTATCCTGAAACCTCTTGGGTATTCATGTACCCTGTTGACCCATTCTAGGTATGGTTTTCTGTACACAGGAGTTTGGACCCCCCGAGCCATTGGTCCACACAGCTCCCTAACTATATCAGCAATTTGGTCCCTAGGAACCATATTTTGTGCCTGTTGAACCACTACTGGGGGAACAAACACAGGATTTGGTGGACAAACTTGTGCTTGTGGTCCTCTTGGTCCATAGGGTGGTACAGTTGGGACTGGCTGTCCCTGTGGTACAGGTTGTTGTTGGGGGTGTAGGTAACCTCTTTGAGCCTGTCCTGCGAAGGGCCCTACGAAAGGTGCTGGAACAGGTATTGTATCCCTTCCATTTGTGGGAAAACCTTCCAACCCCCCTGTGTATAAATTCGAATAAGGGATTATTGTACCCCCTAGTGCCAGGTATTGCTTCGAATATGGGGCTTGGAACCATTCTTATGCCATTTTCTTGTACCGGGCCAGATCCACCAATTTGCATGGCTTCACTGTTGAACATTGAGGCATTTTGGCCTGCTACAGGCCTCGAAATGGGTTCGTACCAAGACTGAGGTGGTAATCTTTCATGACTCTGATTACTGGTTTGACCATTAGAATGTCCATTAACTTGCATAGACTGTTTATCTTTAGCCAATCTTTGCTGAGGGACATTTACTTCCTCCATGTATTTTACATTTGTTGGTTGGTGATTATTCATTCGATCCAAAAAGGATGTTGTCCACCTTTCCATTGTGTTTATTAATTGCTGTCCCATGGCATCTACTAGGCCACCCCACGGATTTACTGGCTGAGTAGATGGGACATTGGATGGTCCAATTCCTTGGTCTCGTCCAATATTACGAACAAATGGCATTTGCTCTGAAGTACTGGTCTGTTCGACCATAGGTTTCGATAAGATAGGAGTCTCCACAGGATGTGTTATCACATTATCCTCTAGATTAGGTATCTCCACCTCTCCTTCCACGCCTTCTTCCAAGCGTTCATTTTCTCCTTATCTCCTACGTCTAGCCATTTTAAATGTGTCCCACCGGGCGTGCCAAAAATATATATTGGCTTTTTGGCTTTCGAAAGTTAGTTTCGTAATTATGAGCATGCCAGTAAGGATCAATCAGCCCTTACAGAATTTTAATTGCCAACCAATTATTCAGACGATTGTGTTATAGTTCTTTCAGCCTCAATGAAGAGGACTTTTACTGGTGGCTTGATTTAGGAGAATTTAAGCATAAGAACAGTTAAATAAAGAACAATTGAGGCATTTCATTAGTATGAAAGACTTACAATGATCCAAACTCAGCCTCGTAGAGATTTACAGCGACAATATACTGGAAAACTACTCCGATGAATGAAGTGTAGTGCAGGAATTTAAAGTACAGAAATGTAAAGAACAGGAAATATAAAAACTGGAATGAAATATGTAAAGTAAGACTGATTTTTTAGATCTGAGCCTCCTCCTTTCCCTGAGGTCTTCCCTGCTATTTATACTTCCCAAAGATAACCATCGAACTGCACTTCAAACTGTCGAACTGCTCCTCTGTAATCACTGATCATGCTGCCTTATGAATAGTTCCACTACGCTTTCACTTGCGGTTAGGCTTCCCTCCTATATTTGAATTTGAATGTGAGTAACCGTTGAAGCCACATCACTTTGCATCTCTTTGTTGATCTACTGTTACTCAGATCTTATAACAACCAATTTTAACCGCCACGTGTATGATCAGGATCGGAGACTTGACTGGTTTCCCCATATTACCCTTATTTTGCCACACGTCGAATTGTCACTGGCTCATACAAAATATGTAGCCAACACTATTATAACACATTATTGTAGATTAAATTGTGAGAAGTTTTTTCGGTCGTCAAACCTTTTTCATAGGATTTTAAAAGACTAATATATGTTTTTGGTTTTGGTTTTGTTTTTAATTGAACATTATGTATTTTTCGTCTACAATTTGAGTTAATCTAGTAAAAGAAATAATAATAGGATATAATTTTTATAAACTAGGAAAATAAAATTGAGCTCAAACCAAATCTTCTAATGAATAATTTCATTAAATAGAGATTAGTTTTATTAGGTTTAACTTGTAAATAATTTTTTTTTTTTTCATACAGTTGATACTTTTAGTTAATGATATATCTCACTACAAGAATTAACACATTTGCCGACCAAAAAATTGGTCGCTAAAAGTCCATTTTTGGTCGGCAAAACATATTCCCGACCAATTTTTTTGGTCGCCAAGTTGGTCGGCAATTGAGGGTCGCGGAAAGTAATTAGCGACTAAAAAGATTTTTAGTCGGCAAAACGTTCTATTTGGCGACTAAATTGTTGGTCGCTAAACATATAATTATCGCGACTAACCTATTTAGTCGCGAAAAGACTTTGGTCGGCAAAAATTACATTCAACGACCATACATGTTAGTCGCTAATTTGGTCGGCAAAAATTACTTTCAACGACCAACAAAATTGGTCGGCAAAAATTACTTTCAACGACCAACAAAATTGGTCGGCAAAAATTACTTTCAACGACCAACAAAATTGGTCGGCAAAAATTACTTTCAACGACCAACAAAATTGGTCGGCAAAAATTACTTTCAACGACCAACAAAATTGGTCGGCAAAAATTACTTTCAACGACCAACAAAATTGGTCGGCAAAAATTACTTTCAACGACCAACAAAATTGGTCGGCAAAAATTACATTCCACGACCAAAACTTCTTCGTCGCTAAATAATAGTTTCTACGACCAAAAAATTTGGTCGCTATTTGTTACTTTTCGCGACCAAAACTTTTGGTCGGCAAAAGTGAGATTCCACGACCAAGTGTTGTTTTGGTCGGCAATAGATGTATTTTTTGCGACCAAAACTCTTGGTCGGCAATTGTCATTTTTTACGAAAAAAAATTATTTATTTGTCGCGACTAATAAATTGGTCGCCAAAAGCAAGAAAACAATACACCTGTAATTCCTAATAATTCATTCAATCCATAATAAACCTATAATTTTAAAGCATCATCCATGATGTGAATGACACAATGATTCATCACATCCCTCTAATCTTTGAAATATTTGATAGAAAACAATGCATAATTATCTATTAATAACATTTCTATTCACATTCATCACAGATCAGCTGCATGCCTGCATCACCATCTTCTTTGCCATCTTGTAAACACAAACTAGAAGTACTCAAGTGCTAAATATTGATACAATATAAAATAAACTTTCTATATATACATATGAGAAGGTACCATAGAAACATTGCAAAATCCAAATTCAAGATACACCTTGACTAAAATACAAATAGTCCAAAAAACTACTAGGCTGTGAATAAGCTAGCTATGTTTCTAAGCAACTGCAACTTCCTCCTGATAAGAGTCCGTTTGTGCTTTACTACAAGATTCGAGAGTATCCCATGCTGATTCAATGACAACCTGCCCATTGACATAGTGCTGGCGGCAGACAGGCATATAGACATCAGAACCACCAATCAGCTCAGTCTTTGTCTCATTAGTCTTCCTTAAGGTAAAGAAAGCCCGCTTGCCACAGAGCTGGCACCGAGCTGTCAGTTTGGTTATGGAATCCGCAAGGGGTATTATGTCAACAACTGAGCCAAAGGTCCTTCTTCAATAAACATTTTGATTTCACATTAAAAAAAATAAAAAATCAAAACATGGCAAAAAAAAAAACAAAAATTAATGCAGCATCAAAATTGAGTAGCAGACAAGGAACTCTACAACAGATGTAAGGTTACCTCAAGTAATCCCCATCCAGGCCAGCAACTATAACAATTTTCCCATCACAATCAGCAACCTTGCAGCAGAAATCATAAAGGTCATCAAAGAATTGAGCTTCATCAATGCCAATCACATCCAGCTGTCAGCACATACCACAAATTAGAAGATGAAAAAATCACTGCAAATACTGAACTTAGAACATAATTCATTAAATCCATAATAAACCTATAATTTTAAAGCATCATTCAAATCAACTGAATCATTAACATCAAAGTTCTGATGGCAACAAATCGACCAGACACAGTTTACAATCGGACTTCAGCATCTAAAACAAAAAATAAAATAAAAAAAGAGCAGCTTGAATCATCACTTGTCTAGACACAGTTTACATTGATGTTGTGAAAACAAGATGAAGAATGGTTAATTTGTAAGTAGATCTTACATTTTTATTCTTTTAAACTATCACAATATTATTAGTAAATACATGAAAATTCTTAGTTATTCAGTCCTTAGGCAGACAAGAAAAGAAAACTACCAATTAGATATACTTAGGGTTTGCCTCTCATAATAGTTTCAAAACCAATCTGATAAATTCCCCCCCCCCCCTAAATCAATACACGGAATTTCATCACATTTAAACCAAACCAAACCAAACCAACCAAACCAAGCCTTAAGTCCCATCAATTTCATCATATTTAGATTTAGTTATCATCTGCAAATACAAAATAGAAAATAACAAAAAGTCAAAGCACTACAAAATTTTGGTGGTGAATGGCCTATTCATCAACAATATTAGTAGGACATAACACAATACAATAAGCATTACTTTGGTCGGCAATTGAGGGTCGCGGAAAGTAATTAGCGACTAAAAAGATTTTTAGTCGGCAAAACGTTCTATTTGGCGACTAATTCGTTAGTCGCTAAACATATAATTATCGCGACTAACCTATTTAGTCGCGAAAAGACTTTTGGTCGGGAAAAATTACATTCAACGACCATACATGTTAGTCGCTAATTTGGTCGGCAAAAATTACTTTCAACGACCAACAAAATTGGTCGG